ATATTTTTAATACATTGTACGTAATATTTGTATTAAATTAATTTTTTAAATCTAAACAAATATTTCTACGCGCCGCACGCCTGTATCACCGCAACCGCTGTACACACTTAGCGGTAGACTGCTCGAAAGGCATATTCGAAATATTTGGGTCCACGTTTTTAGCAAGATAGAAAAAAAATTATCCTTGTCAAAATATTCTAACTTGTACTCGACGGTTTAAAGATTATAAAGCTATTTGTAGAATTGCAATTCATTTAGTAGTTTTTTAGAAAAAAAAAATCCCAAAAATCACTAATTAAGGCATTTTTTCAACAAAAAATGCAATTAACTCGAAAAGGAAGCATTTTTCGAAAAATTATCAAGAGAGAAAAGGTGTTTATTTTGATGAGATACACCTAAAAAAATTGATTCCGAAGCAATTAGGTGAAATTGCTTTTGTGTATAAGTTATTTGTTAATAACAATTGCCGACCCACTTGTAAAAATTAAAAAAAAAAAATACATTTTATCTTGAAAAAATATATAGAATCGAATAAAAAAGGTTTGGTGCATTAGAAATGCAAATAAAATTTTAGTAGGTATATTCTGTTTTTAAGCGTCTTTTGAGGGGTAAACCGCTCGCCTACAATCTTCCCATAAAACTCATACTAACAGATGTAGACAAAAAATGCGAACATTTAGGTCATTTCCGCATCAGAAAATCAATATATCAAAAATACTTCTCTAGTCGCCTCCTTCTCTCCACAAGATCAACCTGGAATGCAATACAGAATCACATTGATTACATAATGGTGAACAAAGAGATTCCGTAATGAATGGCTATTAGTTAAAAGTTACCCCGGTGCTCGTATATCGTCAAATCATGTATATGTTGTTGGTAAACTCAGATTTTAGATTTAAGAGGAATTTAGTTGGACAAAAATAGTAACAAAAAATGGGATATGAGAAGACTAAAAGGCAAGGAAACAAAATAAAACAATCGTACGGATTCTTTCGGAGAAGCTAAGTAACATAAAGTCTTTTTCTTCTTCACGTGCCATCTCCGCGACGAAGGTTGGCAATCATCATGGCTATTCTGATCTTAGATAAACATAAAGTAAACATATATAATGCAAAATAATCGCTCCAGAATATATGTGAATCCTGTAGCAATGTCAAAGAAGCACATATAATAGAGAAAAATGAGAAATCGAAAAGTTGGATAAATGACGATATACTGCGACTCATGGACGAAAGAAAAAAATTACCGAACAACAAAAGAATGTACAACAATATTTTTCTTCTTCTTCTTTTTCTTTGTATGTAGACACGACTCCATTGTTTTCCAATAGGCCTCCAAAAAGTTGTCGTTCCATCGTTTTCGTGGTGTTCCTATAGATCGTCTTCCTATTAGGAAACCGTCTCTTGCCGTCTTTACTAATCTATTTGTTGTCATTCGGTTTATATGATCGTTCCATTTTACTCTTCTATGTTTAACCCAGTTCTTGATGTTCTACTCCTTGTATCTACGTCGTATATCTGCACTTCTTGTGTCGTGTCTTACCATCAATTTTTCAAAGTGTTTTCATCTCTGCTGTTTGTAACATCCTTTTTGTCCTCTATGTGTCAGTTCTTGTTTCTACTGCGTATGTCATTATTGATCTGATAACTGTTTTGTAAATTCTGCCTTTCGTTTCTTTCCCAATATTTTTATTTCTCCATATTATTTCATTCAAGCAGCTTGTGGCTGTGTTTGCTTTATTCACTTGATCTTCCACTTCAGTTTAAAGCTTTCCATAGCTAGATAATGTGATGCCTAGATATTTAAACTCCATCGCTTGTTTTATTATCTGACCCTACTGCTCCAATTTACATCTTAGTAAATTTGCTGTTGTAACCATGCATTTTGTCTTTTTTGGGGAAAATAAGATGTTAAATTTTCTGGCGGTTATATTAAATTGGTGCAGCATACGTTGTAAATCATTTTCACTTTGAGAGTATTGCGTCGTCTGCATCTCAGATTATTTTAAATAATTGATGGATTCGACCATTACTTGATGGAAATTCATTTTATGTAACAATAAAACACTGAAAACTTTGTTTTCAAACTTCCAAAAAATTTATTTTATACAATTATCACTACAGCTGTTTTGGCTGATTGCCTTTCTCAAGTGATCTATTTTTGGCATGCGTTTACACTTTATAGTCTCTAATGAAATATGTTGAGGAGGGAGAACTGTTTGTCTCAAGTTGTTCATTCAGAATTATATCTGTGTTTTTAATTTGTTGATTTCCATAGATTCTAACAAAGATAGCTTAAGGCCTTTATTTTGAATGTGAAGATTTTTAAATTCGTCATTAAAAGAATGATTATGATCTAGAAGGTGAAGTGCGTATGTAGAATCTGTTTTTCTATTATTGAAAGCCCTTTTATGTTCTGCTATTCGTTTATTAAAGTTTCTACCAGTTTGACCGATGTAAGTTTTTGGGCAGTCGCCACATTTAAGTTTGTACACACCGCTGTGTAAGTGTTTTTTATTTTGGCTCTTGTTGTTTTTGATATATTTGCCTAGGTTGTTATTTGTTCGGAAATCTGGTGTTCTGCTAAATATATGACAAATATCAAATATCAATGTTTCAAATATAGCTATTTGATTAATTTACAATACAGATTACAATATTGATGGTTGATACTGTTACATTATTATAATTTTAACTTTTTCAATTCTAAATAAGGCTGACATCTGTCAATTTTAGACAACTACCGTAAGTTACACTGACTGCTCTGACACAACATCCGTCCTAACATGTCAACAATGTCATTTTGATCAGTTGTTATCAACAGGTCCTCGTAGACACTTCGTCTCAGGACATTTTACTCATGTAGAGTCATACGCCGCCATGTTACCTATCCAACGGTAACTTAAACATCACAAATTATAAATACTAATAATGTAAAACAACTTCAAATTTAAAACATTTAAAGGGTTTTTACCCATATATTTTGGTGGCTACTAGCATGTACAACCGTAAGTATTAACCACATTTTGCTCTAACCTTTGTCAACATTTTAATTTAACGTTCTTTTTAATCAAAGTGGTTATATACTTTCAGGTTTGCACTGATGATGGATTGTTTAATCCGAAAACGTTCTGCAATGTGTTTGTGATAGCCCGTTTGGGGCATTTTTATATACCTTTTATAAAGGATTTTAAACAATTTTTTTTTTAGCAGGTATATGTTTTTGAACACAGAATTGTTTATATCCGTTTCTAAATTGTACCTTTAAATTCTTCGTTAGTGCTTATTCCAATCAATTTTTTTCCAATCTACAGACGACTAGGTTTACCCTATGTACCAGATAGACCGAAAACCATCGTCGTTATCGTATTCGTATTCAGCAATCTCGAAAACCTCAGAGTTATTACTTTTAACTGATTTTGAATAAAAATAACATAAAACTCTAGGAAACGAAGTCCACCCTCGGCACTAACCCGCTCGAGGACCATCTTCATTATAATATTCTGAGCAATCTGAAACAGCAATCTGCAAGTGTAGAGCATCTGAAAAACCTCTAGTAATGACTTTCGACTGATTTTGAATTAATATAACATAAAACTCCAAGAGACAAGGTCCTCCTTGGCCACCAGGTAGTGCGATGAAGGTCGTCGTTATCATATTCATGTTCAACGACCTCGAAACTCCCGAGTAATGACCGTCGACTGATTTAAAGAATAAAATTAACATAGTCCAGAAGAAGAGATCCACCCTGGGTACCAGGTAGCTCAAGGACCATCGTCGTTATCATATTTGTATTAACCAACCTCGAAAACCCCCGTGTAATAAAGTTGAACTTATTCCCGTTGATATTTTGCAAGTTACAACAGTTTTAATTTTCTATGCACTTTGAAAATGCATTTTTCTTAAGCACAAAATGCAATTTGCATTTTATCACCATAAATTTTGTTCACAAAATTTCCTGACAATGTCCTGAATTGTTGCATAGCGATTCTTCCTACTGCGAGAAATTTATAGGTTTAGTGCTTGTTCTAAATATGATAATATATAAAACTTTATATCCAAATTGTAATAAACAAATGTAAAATTTAAAAATACAACGACTTTTGCACATATTCACATTAAAGTTAATACTGAAATACTGTAAATTTTGATAACGGTAAGTATCAGTGTCCGATATATAGATAAGTAAAATAAAACTTGTAATGACGATTCAACAATTTATATTTTTGAGATTTATTTATGAGTATAGTTCATAATAAACATTAATCAACAAGAATAAAACAGTAAAAATAAAAAAGGCCGATATGAAACTTTTATTGTTAAATGTGTAAATCTAAACGAAGTCAGCAAATATGTCCGATGTTTATAATTTTTTTATTGAAAGGATATTGGAAATATAATACAACAAAAATTATAATTCAGTTTACTAGAGCCCAAAAAATATCTATGGAAATTTTTTCTTTAAATTTAAACAATTTTTAAGGGTAGAAAAAAAATAAAATTTTCAGAGCTGTATAAATACGACGGCTTTATAATGGGTTAAGCAAAATATGAGAATTAAACAACAAAATATACGATACAAAAGGGTGGGAAAAACCATAACATCTACTCCTCTGTCCATCCTAGAAGAGGATGAATTAAATAAAGTTATATGTTATAATTAATTTTCAGATATTATGGTGCACAAAAATAATGACAAATGGTAGATACTTTGTTCTATGTCAATTATTCCGTATCTTTAATTTGATATATGCTTTAAAAGTATAACCTTCCGATGCAATTCAAGTTTTACAAATACTACCCAGTGTATAACAACACTTCGTCAAAATTCTAAACAGTTCTCCCAGTTCGGAACAATGTATTGAAGTAATCAAATGATATATTGTTAACAAACAGCTGCACAAAAGGGGCCAGAATTCCATTAACCAAGTGTATGATATCGGTGATTATGATAAACGCTTTTAAAACCGTATAAAGTCCATAGCGAGTCGACACTGTTTCACATTTTACGCGAAATAGTCATCTGTGCGCGTTGCTGGACGGAAACTGCTCTCCGAAATTAAAAATAATGATTTTATAAGGATATAAATACTTTGTTCCGGTGACCACTTAAACATTGTATTTGTTTCTTTAATTGTTGCATTTTTTATCTTGAGACCGAACCGAAACAAGATGCATTCAAAGATTTTCCTAGTTTTCGTTGTGTTTTTCGGTGCGTGTGTAGCTACTGATACGGTGAATTGGTCTGATTGTGGTAAGTACTAATTAAGATTGTAGCAGAAGTAAGGGTTGTAACCCCGCTGGCCACTCTCCATTAGTTGATTCACAGTTGCTCTTAGATTTGTTTTAGTATTTTGTTTGAATATTTGGTTTTATCACTATCCATTCAGTTAATTGTAGTTTTTTGATATATATTATCACTAACCAATTTTCGGATAATTTAAAAAACATCTCGTTCTGTTTTATCAAGTTATTTATATCTACAAATAGCCTTAGGATGGCTTGTTTTCCATTTCCGCGATTAGACCAGAGAAATTAGCAAATAAAAAGCTTTTTCGTGACACTCTTTGATACACTTATCTACATAGCAGTTGTTTTTGATAAATTTTGTGATACCAATATGTAATTAACAAAATATGCAAAAGATTAAATGTCATTTTTTACTTATAAATATATTCCGCGTCATAGAAAACAGGCCACCCCAAATATTTTAAATATTTTCGAAATTATTATTTATTGCTACAAAATTAAACATTTATTTTTTTGTATATTGAATCAACAACTCGTTTAGTATAAAATTTCATCATTATCGTAAAACATCAATCTAAAATAAAAAATTTAAGCAAAATAGGAAATTTATTGAAAAAATCTACTTACAGATTTTAAACCAACAATGAACTGTAGGGGAAGGTAGTACACAATGAGACAAAAAAGACATTTTTATTTTTGACATTGACATTTTTGAACTTGTCCACAAACTGAGTTAACCAGGCATCAATATGATTATTTCCTCAATATAATCTAAAATAAATATTCCCTCATGACTGAAGAAAACAAAATCTATGATAATTTTTCTGTCTACATCTGTCCCATTGTGTACGTTTGGTGGAACACAATGAGTCAAGTGGTGGTACACAATGAATCAAGTGGTATTATTTCAATAATTTGTTAAAGTAAATACATAGACTGTGGTTTTTATTCTTGAAAATAGCAATTTTACATTTACAATAGAAAAACTGAAATGAAAGAAAATTTTAACGGATCTTAATACTGTCAAACTTTACATCAAATTGGAAATAAGATGCAAGGCGCTTATTTTTTTATCTACATTTTTTGGTTTTGGTAGAATTTCTATTATATGGGAAACAATGAGAACAATGCGCGTTAGAGAGAAATGGGTGAATATAACACAAAGACTGTATAAAGAAACACAAGTGCAAATAAAGTTAGGTAATGAAATAACAAAAACAATCACAGCAACAAAAGGCCTCAAACAGTGATGTGGTCTCTCACCTACACTTTTTAACATATCTATAGATCAGGCTTTGAAAAGATGGTATAGAAAATGCGGAACAATGGGCATATCAGTCCAAGTTATTTTTGCACAAAACAGGGAGGATATGGAATATATGATAAGGAAATTAAAGGAAGAATATGAACTTTGGAGACTCAAGATAAATATGTGCAAAACCGAATACTTATGTAGTGGACCTGAGGTTGCAGATTTGAACTTAAGTTTAGAAGAAAAGGCTATTAAGAGTTGTAAGACTTTTAAGTATATAAGATCAATGATTAGCCGAGATGGTACTTGTATGAAAGATATAGAAATGAAAATAGCACGGGGAAACAAGCCACAAGAGTACTTCATGGAGTGATATGGAACAACACTAACCAAAGAAAACAAACTGTCAAAGCATAGTGATGAATATTACCTTATATGGAGCGGAAGTATGGCCAATGACAACAACAATACGAAATAAAATAAGAACAGTTGAATTGGACTTTATGAGAAGATATCTACAAATCACAAGAGCGGATAGAATAAGAACGGAGAAAATATGGAACCGAATGGAAGTAGAATGCTAAATTACAAAAAAGTTAGAAAACAGAGCCCTGTAGTGGTATGGGCATGTACAAAGAATGCCAGAGGATAGATGCCGAAAAGAATATTAAACTGGGACCCGCCGAGAAGAAGACGGAGAGGCAGACCTGCTACAAGATGGAAAACATATGTCGGAAATGTTATGATAGATAGAGACCTCAGAGAAGGTGACTGGGAGAATAGAGTGCTGTGAAGGACGAAAACGGCAAACTCACGATGGGAAAAGCCAAAGAAGAAGAAAAAGAAGAAGGTAGAATTAATATAACGTCTGACCTTCCTACTGCAGCAATGTTTTCAACTAAAGGAAAAATAAAGTAGCCTTGAAGCTTACCACTTTTTCTTAAAAATGACACTTTAAATTCATTAAAATGTCTTGAGAACTTTAGCAACATAAAATATATTGTTTTCAAATTTCACTAATACAAAACTATTAATGGAAATTTCTGTACTAGTATCAATGCCATAATCGTCTTCCTGTAAACTGTAAATTTTCACATTCATTGAAAGAAGAATCATTGTAATTGATTAGTTCCTCATTCTCCTCGGATGAAGTGCTATCACTTCGTTATTTTTTTCTGCTTTGGTGCTGAGCCGCTTACCTTATTTAAATTGACCTTAATTCGTTTAATATTCTGAGGAGTCATTTTTTTGGTTGTTGCTTGTAGTTTTAACTGATCCAAGTTAGGTGTTTTAAAATTGCACTCTTTTTAGTTTTGCTTGCCTTCACACCATTTCTCTTTTCTGCTTTTGGACATTCTTTAAACTCATGAGGGGAGATGAAAGAACTTGAATTCGCAGATGATACTATTGACTTAGAGTTTTGAGACATTATCGATTTTTCAGGTGTCCTTGGTGGGGATACTTCTTGATTTTCAGGTGTCTTCAATGAGGATGAGATAACTTGATTGGAAAGCACACTAGACATTTCTGTCGAGTCTGGTTGTGGATTTGGCTGTTCAGTTCAGTCACAGAACAACCAATAAAGTCAGCTTAAAAAAATGTCTCTATTAAGGGGAAAAATTCCCGTTTTATTAACACCTGACAGAATATTAATAGGTGTTAATGCTTTCATATATGCTTCCCCTACACATTGTTCTATCGCGTATATTGAAATAGGTTTACCAGGATTGTTCAGCGACCATGAGTCTATAGCGGCATTGTAATACGCTTTAAAGGGAGAGGAAATTGAAACATCAAGGGGTTGGAGTTTGTTACTAAAATGTGAAGAAGAAGAAGAAGCAGAAGCAAGAAGAAGAAGCAAGTGAAGAATTTGGTCTGTCGCTGAATAAAAAGAAGACCAAATTCATGATAATTACAAAGAAACGTATCAATAATATCAACTTACATGTAGGACAGAATCTCATTGAACGAGTACAAAATTACAATTACCTCGGAACAAATATTAACGAGTCAAACGAATTCACCAGAGAAATAAGAATAAGAATAGAGAAAGCCCGCAGTGCCTTTAACAACATGAAACAAATGTTGTTTAGCCGAAACCTAAGCCTAAAGCTGAAAATACGAATGCTTAAATGTTATGTTTTCTCGGTCCTGTTATATGGGGTAGAGGCGTGGACACTAAATAAGCAATGTATGGGTAAGCTGGAGGCATTTGAGATGTGGGCGTACCGAAGAATGTTAAAAATCTCCTGGAAGGATAAGATAACTAACCAAGTTGTATTAGACAGGATGAACAAACAAAAGGAGGTCGTATTGAGTGTTAAAATGAGGAAACTACAATACCTGGGACATATTACACGTGGGAATAAATATCAACTGTTACAACTAATTATGCAAGCAAAGATTGAAGGTAGGCGTAGCATAGGTAGGAGAAGAATGTCATGATTGAGAAACCTCAGGGAGCGGTTTACTTGCACTTCCATACAATTGTTCCGAGCGGCAGCCTCCAGGGTCAAAATTGCCATGATGATAGCCAACCTTCGTAGCGGAGATTGCACGTGAAGAAAACTAAAATGTGGAGGAAGAGTCAGTATGATTACACCATTATCCTTTGCCAGTTGAATAACTTGATATGTTACGTGACTCTCATGATTGTCGTAGATCAGTATGGAAGGGTTTTCAATTGAACTGCTGCTAAACTTGATGAAATGTTTCATAACGTCGACAAACAGGTCGTTATTCATCCATCCACTTGGATTTGCCAAACCGAGTGTGCCAGGTGGAGCCCCTTGTGTCATATGCTCCTTATAATATTTCCTTGGAAAAACCATAACAAAAGGCAGAAACGTACCATTCGCACATACAATTACACATCTACTTATAAGAATACCCCTTTCACCGCTAGTACAATTATTCAGCTGTTTTACACCTTTCTCCGCCACGTCTTTCTTAGGTTTCTGCGCTGTTGTTGTACTAGTCTCATCAAGGTTGTATATCCTGATATTAGACACAACTGATGGATATCTAGAATAAACGGCATGTAAATTGTCGAAGAATTTGTTGACATTGTGTGGATTAAATGATGTTAATCTTGATAAACTGCAACCCTCTGGTTGACATAAACTGAGGTTCCCACGCCTATTAAAAAATAAACGGAACCATTGGAGTTCAGCTACTGCCATGATCCAATTCGCTGGAACTGAAATATTATTTCCTGTTCCTCTGAAAACACACGTCATACAGCATATTTGGGTTCCATTCGATCACTATCTGGATTAGCACGATTTTTTGCGACATATATTTGTAATGTCTGAAATTTTACTCCGTGTCCAACGACAGCAATTCTTAATGATATTTCGACCAAAACATCTTGTACGGCACTTGCCATATCATCGGAGCGGAATGTCTCTCGACATCTTGGTTTTTCTTTGCGCACCATGTCTGAAACAAACATAATGCACTTTCATTATACTTAGACAACATATCATTATAGCATAAACCCTTGGTACAAATTTTAGTAGTACACAATGGGTCAGTCTCATTGTGTACTATCACCTCTATATTAAAAAAAAGCTGATATCCATTTTCAGTAATCGGTATTGCCACCTCGATTCTGGATGACTCTCCTCATTCGATTTGGCATGAAATTTATAACGTTTTGGATATCTGTAACATTTGTTTGACATTTGTTGACAGAGTAATTTATATCCCTAGCAACGGAGCAACACAATTGCGATTTTTGTGCTAAAAAT